GCGTGGCACTTTCCAAACACGATTCATTGACATAAACGTAAATAATTCTATCGGCGGGGCTATACAGTATATCCTACAAAGCTAAACGGATGTTCTTACTACAGAACATTCACGAGATGTCCAGTTAAATTACACTCGACGAGTTTTTGACAAGGCCTGTTCTCGTGCAGAGAGCGTGGCACTTTCCAAACACGATTCATTGACATAAACGTAAATAATTCTATCGGCGGGGCTATACAGTATATCCTACAAAGCTAAACGGATGTTCTTACTACAGAACATTCACGAGATGTCCAGTTAAATTACATATATCTTTGTCCGTCACCCTGTATAGATGTCCAGTTAAATTACATATCTATTTGTCCGTCATCCTGTATAGATGTACAGTTAAATTACATATATCTTTGTCCGTCACCCTGTATAGATGTACAGTTAAATTACATATCTATTTGTCCGTCACCCTGTATAGATGTCCAGTTAAACTACATATATCTTTGTCCGTCACCCTGTTTAGATGTACAGTTAAATTACATATCTATTTGTCCGTCACCCTGTATAGATGTACAGTTAAATTACATATATCTTTGTCCGTCACCTTGTATAGATGTACAGTTAAATTACATATCTATGTGTCCGTCACCCTGTATAGATGTACAGTTAAATTACATATCTATTTTTCCGTCACCCTTTATAGATGTACAGTTAAATTACATATATCTTTGTCCGTCACCCTGAATAGATGTACAGTTAAATTACATATCTATTTGTCCGTCACCCTGTATAGATATACAGTTAAATTACATATATCTTTGTCCGTCACCCTGTAAAGATGTACAGTTAGATTACATATCTATTTGTCCGTCACCCTGTATAGATGTACAGTTAAATTACATATATCTTTGTCCATCACCCTGTATAGATGTACAGTTAAATTACATATATCTTTGTCCGTCACCCTGTACAGATGTACAGTTAAATTACATATATCTTTGTCCGTCACCCTGTACAGATGTCCAGTTAAATTACATATCTATTTGTCCGTCACCCTGTATAGATGTACAGTTAAATTACATATCTATTTGTCCGTCACCCTGTATAGATGTACAGTTAAATTACATATATCTTTGTCCGTCACCCTGTATAGATGTACAGTTAAATTACATATCTATTTGTCCGTCACCCTGTATAGATGTACAGTTAAATTACATATATCTTTGTCCGTCACCCTGTATAGATGTACAGTTAAATTACATATATCTTTGTCCGTCACCCTGAATAGATGTACAGTTAAATTACATATCTATTTGTCCGTCACCTTGTATAGATGTACAGTTAAATTACATATATCTTTGTCCGTCACCCTGTATAGATGCCCAGTTAAATTACATATCTTTTTGTCCGTCACCCTGTATAGATGTCCAGTTAAATTACATATATCTTTGTTCGTCACCCTGTATAGATGTACAGTTAAATTACATATATCTTTGTCCGTCACCCTGTATAGATGTACAGTTAAATTACATATCTATTTGTCCGTCACCCTGTATAGATGTCCAGTTAAATTACATATATCTTTGTCCGTCACCCTGTATAGATGTACAGTTAAATTACATATCTATTTGTCCGTCACCCTGTATAGGTGTACAGTTAAATTACATATCTATTTGTCCGTCACCCTGTATAGATGTACAGTTAGATTACATATATCTTTGTCCGTCACCCTGTATAGATGTCTAGTTAAATTACATATCTATTTGTCCGTCACCCTGTATAGATGTCCAGTTAAATTGCATATATCTTTGTCCGTCACCCTGTATAGATGTCCAGTTAAATTACATATATCTTTGTCCGTCACCCTGTATAGATGTACAGTTAAATTACATATATCTTTGTCCGTCACCCTGTATAGATGTCCAGTTAAATTACATATCTATTTGTCCTTCACCCTGTAAAGATGTACAGTTAAATTACATATATCTTTGTCCGTCACCCTGTTCAGATGTCCAGTTACATTACATATATCTTTGTCCGTCACCCTGTATAGATGTCCAGTTAAATTACATATCTATTTGTCCTTCACCCTGTATAGATGTCCAGTTAAATTACATATATCTTTGTCCGTCACCCTGTATAGATGTACAGTTAAATTACATATATCTTTGTCCGTCACCCTGTATAGATGTCCAGTTAAATTACATATATCTTTGTCCGTCACCCTGTATAGATGTACAGTTAAATTACATATATATTTGTCCGTCACCCTGTAAAGATGTACAGTTAAATTACATATATCTTTGTCCGTCACCCTGTAAAGATGTACAGTTAAATCACATATATCTTTGTCCGTCACCCTGTATAGATGAACAGTTAAATTACATTTCTATTTGTCCGTCACCCTGTATAGATGTCCAGTTAAATTACATATATCTTTATCCGTCACCCTGTATAGATGTACAGTTAAATTACATATATCTTTGTCCGTCACCCTTTATAGATGTACAGTTAAATTACATATATCTTTGTCCGTCACCCTGTATAGATGTCCAGTTAAATTACATATATATTTGTCCGTCACCCTGTATAGATGTCCAGTTAAATTACATATATCTTTGTCCGTCAACCTGTAAAGATGTACAGTTAAATTACATATATCTTTGTCCGTCAATCTGTATAGATGTCCAGTTAAATTACATATATCTTTGTCCTTCACCCTGTATAGATGTCCAGTTAAATTACATATATCTTTGTCCGTCACCCTGTATAGATGTACAGTTAAATTACATATATCTTTGTCCGTCACCCTGTATAGATGTCCAGTTAAATTACATATATCTTTGTCCGTCACCCTGTATAGATGTACAGTTAAATTACATATATATTTGTCCGTCACCCTGTAAAGATGTACAGTTAAATTTCATATATCTTTGTCCGTCACCCTGTATAGATGTACAGTTAAATTACATATCTATTTGTCCGTCACCCTGTTTAGATGTCCAGTTAAATTACATATATCTTTGTCCGTCACCCTGTATAGATGTACAGTTAAATTACATATATCTTTGTCCGTCACCCTGTATAGATGTACAGTTAAATTACATATATCTTTGTCCGTCACCCTGTATAGATGTCCAGTTAAATTACATATCTATTTGTCCTTCACCCTGTAAAGATGTACAGTTAAATTACATATATCTTTGTCCGTCACCCTGTTCAGATGTCCAGTTAAATTACATATATCTTTGTCCGTCACCCTGTATAGATGTACAGTTAAATTACATATATCTTTGTCCGTCACCCTGTATAGATGTCCAGTTAAATTACATATCTATTTGTCCGTCAACCTGTACAGATGTACAGTTAAATTACATATATCTTTGTCCGTCACCCTGTATAGATGTACAGATTTCATATGAAAATTGAAAAACTATTCAGTCAAGATTTGATAATCATATCCGCATTATCATTTTTTTTTTGTGCTTATTTTACTTTTTGAGAACGATCTGCTCTTCCGGAGAACCTAATATCACTTTTACGCCATATTTTAGATCTCGAAATAATGATCATGGACACATGATTGTATGGCCTTTCACTAAGAATGAAGATAGAAAAGTTATTTGGAAAATTTTTTAATACTTTAGCACATGTTATCGGTTGACCCTTTAAAATTTGCATCCAGAACTATTTCGTAACGTTACATTGAAGATCTTGTTTTTCAAATTTGAAAAACAACGATTTTGAATAGCAATGATAGCTAACGCATAAAAAATAGTATAATTCGAAAAACATCAAAATAGAGAAACAAATTGCCATTTCGTTTCATCATGAACTGTGTGCTCTTAAAGGGTCTAACAAATTTGGGTTGTGCAAAATTGTGTGGGAGTTGGAGCTGTCGGATCTTGTGAATCAAGAAAATAGCTATATCTCATTTGTCAGGTATAACTTTCTGCATGGTTCTTGTATCTATTCGAGGTCACGTTAAAATTAGTTATCATAGATATTATAATGCCAATTGGAAGGATAATTCCCATGAGTTTGAGTTAGCTACCTTTCACTAGTTTATGGAAGTCACTGGAAGTAGATAGATGCTCCTTTGAAAAAAAAAAACTATATTTTACTCTTAAATGTATCGATTTACCTCCGCGGAATGACTTTTACACAAAAACATGAACAGATATTTCACTTCAAATGGTATTATTAGCAAGTAGAATATATAATAGATATTACTAGAAAATTAAACTAATAGAAAAGAAGGGAAACAAGTATAACCAAAATATCGAACTCCAAGCTATATTCAAAAAGAGGAAGAAAACAATCTGGTCTACAAGTCCTCGTATGGAATGCCGAAGAGGGTGCTTATTCTTGGCTCTGTAGTTCTTGGGAACAATGCTTCTCCGCCAAAAGGTTAGTATTCTGGAGTCTATTGAAGATGTTCCAAAATCAGAGTCTATCGAAGATACTGTTCCAAAACAGAGTCTGTGTGGGTGCTATTCCATAAACAGAGTATGTCGAGGATACTGTTCCAAAAACAGTCTATTAAAAATAATGTTCCAAAAACAGAGTCTATCGAAGATACTGTTCCAAAAACAGAGTCTGTCGAGGATACTGTTCCAAAAACAGAGTCTATCATGGATACTGTTCCGAAAACAGAGTCGGTCGAGGATACTGTTCCTAAAACAGAGTCTGTCGAGGACATTGTTCCTAAAACAGAGTCTGTCGAGGATACTGTTCCAAAAACAGAGTCGATCTATCAAGAATACTGTTCCTAAAACAGAGTATGTCGAGGATACTGTTCCTAAAACAGAGTCTGTCGAGGATACTGTTCCTAAAACAGAGTCGGTCGAGGACACTGTTCCTAAAACAGAGTCTGTCGAGGACACTGTTCCTAAAACATAGTCTGTCGAGGATACTGTTCTATAAATGTAGTCTATTAAGAATACTGTTCATTAAAACAGAATAAGATAGCTTCGCACTATGTTTATAATTGTGTTTATCATTTCAGCATTGATACATGTCATACAAGCTATTTCAGCAGCTGGTCTATTGCCCTATGGTTTAGGTGTTCTTATGCTGAATTGGAGAGCGCAGTCTTTAAATCAAAGGTCTTGTGTACAGTTTATTGGTGCTGGGTTTTTGTTAGTAGCAGGTACATACATTTGTTTTGTAGGTATAACTTATTTATAAAATATAAGGTATTGAATAAAATAAAAAAAAAATGAAAATACGGTCACGAGAAAAGTCGTGAAACAAATTACATAGAACAAATAATGCGCTATTTTTTCCGGATTTAATTATTGTGCAACATTGGGCCAATGTATGCAACTTGAAACTTGTTAATGATATGTACTTTAATAAAAGACAACAGTAGTTTATCGATGTTCAAATCTCATAAAACGACTGAAGGGAACAAACCAAGGTACGAACAAAAACTCAGGGAATCGCATGAACTCCAAAAGAAGCGAGACCGGGTGAATCGACAGGGTAACCGCCATGCGAATACACACTCAGACAAAATGAAATATCGGAAAAAAGGACACAATCGTCAAAACAACAGATTATATGACTATTCCGGTATCTAAAGATCTAAGAACGCGAAAACATTTCGCTAGTGAGTTCAGACACAGACACATCGTATCCGTAAGCAAATTCCTGATGTTGACCATCAAAAATATGTAGTCTCGATTTCAGTCGTTCTTCCTCAGAACAGTGTTTTGTGTAAGGAGCACACCCCTATTAAAGAAATCCGTAAAGTGTGATCATGCACTAGCGTAATGTTTTAGTTGGGGTACGCCATACGATGTGGCAGAGGGTATGTTACTGATGAGAAATGGGAAGGCGGCAATTGGAAAGTTTATATCATCACGTTTGTCGTAGATTCTAGCTTTAAGTCTTTCATCTGTGCCAATAGCTAAGAAAAGATCAAGATATGAAGCAGACGTTTACGTTTCGGTTGCATGTATCCTTAATCTTAAGTTCACTGGGATATATGAAACGCAAGCACTTACTGAAATGTTGTTAATTGAGTGACAGGAGATCAATATATCTAAAGGCGAAATAACATAACTTTTCAATGCTTTTTTTTTGTCTATGAGAAGGTTCTGTGCGAATTCTGCTTCGTATGGACATGAAAACAAGTCGGGCAGTAGGAGGTACCCATTGGAATATCGAAAGCATGCATGATGGTAGTATTAACATTAACGGTACAAATTTCACAGCACCAAACCCGCATTTCGAAAATTAATGTCTATTTACTTGCTGCATTGGAATCATCGGCTCACGTTAAAGAGATGTAAGGTACGGTAATCTTATCACACTATAAAGTCTCCTACATATTCCATGACCAGTTATATTTTGTTCGTTCATAACTTTGTTATTTTGTGTCTATTTTTCTATAGGATTTCTGTGTTTGGTTGGATTAATGATGTGGATGTTCAGTATGCCAGCATTTTTTACTCAACAGTTTGGGTTGTCAATCCAACTGGAAGTAGTTTCAATTGTATTAGCAGTTGCTGCATCCGCCCTTATTATCCTGGAAAATATTGCACACAATAAAACGGAATGTAAATAACACATTGATTGTATCCGTGTTGCATTCAGCATTTTAATGCGTGTTGTGGTTATGATAATATACGTGCCATGAAATATGTAAAATATGTTTATTCTTCTACGAGAGCAAATTACGCTTTACATAAAGGTGTACTGAGGATCGTATGGAAGCGTAAAGACTGGACAGTCATCTACAAAAGTATAACCATACGAACAGCCATTTTGCCGAAGTGACATAATTTACTTGACTGTTAAAGTGTTCAAACAGATCATACGTTTTATTTGTACTTATAATGCGAAGTACGATAATTAAACCATGTGTATGTTTCAATGTTGTATGTCAATAGTACGATAACGTTCGTTTAAAAATTTCATGACATCACAATACAACTGTAAAATTGAGAATGGAAATGGGGAATGTGTCAAAGAGACAACAACCCGACCACAGAACAGACAACAGCAGAAGGCCACCAACAGGTCTATTTTGTATCTTAGGTTAGATAGTTTACCCGTTACAGTTCGGTAGAATTATTTTATGTATTTGTATATACTTTAATAAACATAGAAAAGAATAAGATATTTGGCGGGTAAACCTTGGGTCAGGTCAAATGTGAAGGGGTGTTCCAAAGGAAACTGTAATACGAGTAATGAGGCACTTTGGTAGTACACACCTCCTTCAAAAATGGTATGGCTACCATTAGGGTATATAAGAAGGAGTGATTCCTTGCTCATGGTCCGACCGTGCGAGGGCTTTATAGCCAGCCAAGGTCGTTAAAAACCCCCATAAGTAAGCTCATGGTCGATTGTCATAAGTTTAAGGAGACATAAGACCAAGGTACGGTACGTGAATATTCGAGATCGTTAATTGTCTCTTATATACTTAGTATTAGATATATTGGATACTATTACATTAAGTGTAATAAAGAACAGGTTTGTGCCTGTTAGAAATACGGACTTGTACAAGTTGGAGTTTACAAGTTGTACCGTATTGGACAAGTGTGTTTTAAAACTTGTAGGGTACATAATTGTACCAAGAGGACAAGTGTGTTAACTGTTAGGGTACATAATTGTACCACGACGGGACAAGTTTGTTCCTGACCGAGGACAAATTAGTAATAGTACCAGGTGTATATATTTATAGATTATAGATAGTTCATTAGAGAACGCAAAGAGCAGCAGTTGTATATATTTTAGTTCATTGATGTTAAATTATTTATGAAAAGTTTACTTGTTTAATATTTTGTAAATAGAACATTTTGGATCCAGTATCAAACTGGTAACGAACCTATTCTAAAATAGAAATAGACACGTTTACCCTGTGTACACGTTACACAACTATATAATCATCGACCCGCTTATATATATATATATATATATATATATATATATATATATATATATATATATATATATATATATATATATATAAACAAGTCTAAATTGAAAACAACGTTCAAACCTATGATTGCGTTGGATAAAAACCGCAATTTTTATACGTGTGCATGCAAAACAAATTTCTTGGTAGAGGGGTCTAAATACACCACAAACAACATTTTCCAAAAGACCAAAAAGTGAAAAAGTATATTTTAACAAAACGCATTTGACTAGCAGGTCGAACAACGGATGTTCTTAAACCCTGCTGACTGCCATATATATATATATATAAGATAAGATAAGATAAGATAAGATATTTTATTTCCAATTATGGGCCCCAAAGGGCATAAACATTACAACATCAATAATTTTTCATAATACAATACAAACAATGAGATAAAAAAAAAAAAAAAAAAGTTAAACGAGAACTATTTAAGTTCTTAAAGAATACGTAGATAAAGAATCTATAGTATGTTTTTTTTTAATACTAATGCATTTTATTGCAAGTGTGGTTGATATAGAAAACAAACAAGCAGCCCAAAAAGAAAAAAAGAAAAATAGATATCCATATATGTATAGTACACAAAAGGTTGGATCAATTAAACATATAATAATTAGCCAAAAAGAAAGTAGAAATTAAGCATGTCCATGACTCATCCTGTGTCAGCAGCAAATAGGAAAGCATTATGGTTTCCTAAAGGCAGATGACACCAGGGGGCGATACCTTATGGGCCATAGGCATGTAAAATGTGTGTAAATGTCTCTTTCCTACCTGTATCAAAAGCAAACAAGGAAGCATCATAGGTAACTTGAATGCAGTTGATACCAGGGGACGATGCCTCAAGGATATAAGAGAACATTTGAATAAATAATATATCTTAACAATTATTTTTTTTTTTTAATCGGCTAGTATGTTTGTGATATTCAGATGAATATAATTTTCTATGTCCAATCAAATGTATATACACACATAGATTTCCTTTAACTAATCTTCACTAAGGAAGATGTTTGTATATAAAATTACATATTATTTTAAGTAACTCAACATTTTCTACACTAAATAACCAGATAATTTTGCTTTGACTGCTCATATGATTAAAATAAGAATTATATTTTGCAATACTAGCTAACATACAATTTCTATCATCCTCAAATTTGTTACAATCAAATAGAAAATGAGCCTCATCTTCGACAGTATTGGAAGAACATTTATTACATATTCTGTTAATTCGGGGAATACCCTGATATCTACCTAATTCTATTTGTAATCTATGAGAAGATACACGTAATTTAGTAAAACTTCTAAGTTCAAAATTCTTGATCAATGTTAGATATTTTTCAAAACCAAAATTTGTTTTATATAAAAGGTAGGTTTTCAGTTTACTGTCTGAAAATTTATCTATTTGTTTTTTCCAACAGCTAATAAACAATATTGATAGCTTGGTTTGTATATATTTCTTAAATTTGTATAAGGATTCACAAAATGGAGCATTTATGGCATTTGTATAGTCAATACCAAGTATTTTAAAAACAACATTTATTGAACCATACCATGATGTTATATTCATGTGATGTAGTGTCTTTGATTGTGTATATGCCTCTTTTAATAGAGGAAAATTATTACCTAAATTCTCTAATCTATACCAGTACAATAACATTCCTTTTATAATATTAAAATATATTGGAAATCTTCCAAGTTCAGATAACACTGCAGCATAAACGCATAAAAAGTGTACACAACAACACCAATAACAAACAAGAGGCTCTCAAGAGCCTGAATCGCTCACTTGTATTTCAGAGAAGATTTTTAAATGTAAGTAAACTTGATGAACAAATTGTGTAAAATTGTCTTTAAAGGGCAATAACTCCTTAAGGGGTCAATTGACAATTTTGGTCATATTAACTTTTTTGTATATCTTACTTTGCTGAACATTATTGCTGCTTACAGTTTATATATATCTATAATAATATTCAAAATAATAACAAAAAACTGCAAAATTTTGTTAAAACTACCAATTCGGTGGCAGCAACCCAACAATGGGTTGTTCGATTCGTCTGATAATTTTAGGGCCGATAGATCTTAACCAATTAAACAATTTTACCCCATGTCACATTTGCTCTAAAAGATTTAGTTTTTGAGATATAAGCCAAAAACTGCATTTGACCCTTATGTTCTATTTTTAGCCATGGCGGCCATGTTTGTCGATGGATTCAAACTTCGGATACAATTTATAAACAAGATACCCTAAGGAACATTTAGTTAAAGTTTGAAGGTAATTGGCCCAGTAGTTTCAGAGGAGAAGATTTTTTAATGTTAAAATTGAGAATGGAAATGGGGAATGTGTCAAAGAGACAACAACCCGACCATAGATAGAGCAGACAACAGCCGAAGGCCACCAAAGGGTCTTCAATGCAGCGAGAAACTCCCGCACCCGAAGGCGTCCTTCAGCTGGCCCCTACACAAATATGTATACTAGTTCAGTGATAATGGACGTCATACTAAACTCTTAATTATACACAGGAAACTGAAATTAAAAATGATACAAGACTAACAAAGGCCAGAGGCTCCTGACTTGGGACAGGCGCAAAAATGCGGCGGGGTTAAACATGTTTTTTGAGATCTCAACCCCCCTTCTATACCTCTAACCAATGTAGAAAAAACAAACGCACAACAGTACGCATAGTAAAACTCAGTATAAGAGAAGTACGAGTCCGATGTCAGAATAGGAAACAAAAGAAAATAAACAAAATGACAATAATACATAAATAACAACAGACTACTAGCAGTTACTGACATGCCAGCTCCAGACCTCAATTTAACTGATTGAAAGATTATGTCTTCATCATATGAATATCAGGCACAATCCCTCCTTTTAGGGGTTTAGTATTATACCGTCATAAAATATATGAGAAGAACATAACCCGTGTTATGCCAACAACTGGTTTTAGAATAAATGTGTTTAATTCCGATGCAAAGACCCTATAAGTGAATCAATATTAAAGCCAAAATATGCAATCTTTAATGACCTGACAACAGTATCGTAACTATATTCCTTCTTAATAAGTCTCTTTAAAGGTTTTGTTAGCTATTGAGGTGAATACTGACATTTTTGTGCTTTGTAAAGAATATTACCATAAAAGATTGGATGAGAAATACCCGAACGTATAAGATGTCTGCATGTTGAGTTATATTTACGAAAGATGTCCTTATACTGATGTAAAAATGTTAGCAAACATGATGAACAAATTGTGTAAAATTGTCTTTAAAGGGCAATAACTCCTTAAGGGGTCAATTAACTTTTTTGTAGATCTTACTTTGCTGAACATTATTGCTGCCTACAGTTTATATATATCTATAATAATATTCAAAATAATAACAAAAAACTGCAAAATTTTGTTAAAACTACCAATTCGATGGCAGCAACCCAACAATGGGTTGTTCGATTCGTCTGAAAATTTCAGAGCTGATAGATCTTGACCAATTGAACAATGTTACCCCATGTCACATTTGCTCTAAAAGCTTTAGTTTTTGAGATATAAGCCAAAAACTGCATTTGACCCTTTTGTTCTATTTTTAGCCATGGCGGCCATGTTTGTCGATGGATCAAAACTTCGGATACAATTTATTAACTAGATACCCTAAGGAACATGTAGTTAAAGTTTGAAGGTATTTGGCCCAGTAGTTGCAGAGGAGAAGATTTTTGAAATAGTTTACGACGACAGACGACAACAGACGACGACGACAGACGACGGACGACGACGGACGCCAAGTGATGGCATAAGCTCACATGGGGCCCTTTGGTTTCGGATAGCAGATATCCTTCATTAGTTAATATGATTGTGATGTTGAATGAATCATATATCAGTCTATTTAGATTAAACTATAAGAATCTTGAAATTTATACAATAAAAAAGTCAAACCGAACATCAGGTAAGACGCTTGCACAATTCTAAATATGTGTTAAACACGACATAGGTTATATGACTAATTACAACAGAGAGTTCAAATATATGCTTTGAATAAAAATAATAATGTGAGATATGAACTAGCACAATTCTAAAGCTTTAACGGTGACGACAGTTATGATGTTACAAGAACGATTGCGTCAATAAGAATTCCAAATAAACAGCACTGAACGATCTACATTTGTAAATATTTCAAATTTGACAACGGCAGAGTAGTTACAACAGAGTCTGC